CGCTGAGGCCGGCGGTGCCGGCCGCGACTAAGAGTCTCCCCTTTGTGTTGCAGCCATGACCATGCAGTTCATCAGCCACCGCTTTCCCGAGGATCACGACCCCACCATCGGTGAGAACGGCCCCTGCCCCCCTCCTTCCTGAAGCCCTTGCAGCATCTGTTACCTTAAAGAGCTTGATTCTAGAGAGAGCCCTAAGGCTGCCCATAAGCTGAGCGCTCCAAGTACCCCAGCGTGCTAATTTAAGCAATTAGTCGCCCTGAGACTATGTGAAGATGGAGGGAGATAACCTGACAAAACTCTTTTGTGTTTACCCCATCCGTTATTGTTAAAATGTTAATGTTAAAATGTATTTTATTTAGAGCGTGTATTATCTCCCAAAATGAAGTCTCCAGAATGTCAATCAGTTCTCTGCGCTTCCTTGCCTTTGCGAGGCCAAAACATGCTCTGTGTTTGAGAACCTTCCACTTGACTTGGAAGGGGTGAAGATACCCAGCTGCTCGCTGTGGTGCTGCGTATCCTCTGTGACTTCTTTCTTCAGCATCTCTAAAAAAACCTTCACCAACAGTGACTCTTTCAAAGGAAAAGGGGGGAAAATAGCTCCCTTCCTGGCGAGAAGCAGCCCATTCCCCGTGAGGGTTGGTTCAGAGGAGAGAAAATTGCCAAAAGAAATTAGCAGCTGGTGGTGGCTGTTGTAACCCCTGCTTGGATGTGGGGGGATTTTCTGGCTTGAGGAAAACGTAATGCTCCTACCTTGTGCTTTCCACAGAGGCTGCAAGATGGAATTTACAGGATGTTTCCGCTTGTCGGTCAGAAATAGCACATGGAATAGCTTTAGCCCGGGTGGGATGCTAAATCGTACTCAAGCAATTACATTTGAATTAGTTGCAATTGAAGATGGGGCTAATTTAGCACAGTACCATTGCCAGACGAAGGGCTTTTTGTGCAACGGTCTCTTCCTGCGCTCATGACTAACGAGCAGTGCGGTCGTGTTCCCACTTTGTTCTTCCCTATGTGTCATGCGGTCACAGAGGACGCCTATAAAATACGGATCCGCATTGACGACGAACCTGCAAATCTGGATATCTTGGACACTGCAGGACAGGTACGTGACTAACGAGGGATTGGGAGGGCTTTAGAAACGGCAGCGCTCGTGCCAAGAAACAGAGCCCCTGCAGAGATACGCTGGTGTTTTTATGCAATTCCAACGCGGTTGTCTGTTTTTAGGCAGAGTTTACGGCCATGCGAGACCAGTACATGAGGGCTGGCGAGGGTTTCATCATCTGCTACTCGATCACAGACCGCCGCAGCTTCCACGAGGTGCGGGAGTTCAAGCAGCTCATCTACCGTGTGCGCCGCACGGACGACACCCCCGTGGTCCTGGTGGGAAATAAATCGGACCTGACCCAGCTGCGACAGGTAAAGGGCACAAAAACACACTCACAAGAGAGGTGCTTTCCCCTTTCTTAAAGTTTGTGTGTTTGCTGTAGAGTAAACTTAGTAAAAGTATTAGTTGAATCTGTAAAGAAACAGTAGCTGCTCTCTGTGCTTCCAGCTGCCCTGGAAGGGAAAGTTCCAGACGTTGTGTTTGTACACCCGGAATGAGGTGAATTTTCAGTGTGGGTAGCAGGAAAGTTGCAGTAGTTATGGCAGGACACCCCAGATTAAGCAATCTCTAAATTAAGTTTCAAGGAAGTAATATTCTTTGAAGGGATGTTGTTTCATAAATGACGACAGCTGCTCTGTTTAGAGAATCTCTTAGAGATGGTTCTGTTTCTAGAGAAGTGATGAGCGAAGGAAAAAGCAAAATGGATTTATAGAGAAAGATGTAGAAATCGGTGGAAATGAGTCGTTCCGGAATGGGGACGCTGCGTGCATGGTTATAGTTTAAGCAGGACAAGAAAAGGTAAAGAAATAAACTTAAGGGTTTTTTTTGAATTTGACAAATACAACCCTTTTTTTTTAAGGTCTCCAAAGAAGAAGGCTCTGCTCTAGCCCGAGAATTCACCTGCCCCTTTTTCGAGACGTCGGCTGCGTATCGCTACTACATCGACGACGTGTTCCACGCTCTCGTGCGAGAAATCCGCAGGAAAGAAAAGGAAGCGGTGATGGCCATGGAAAAGAAATCCAAGCCCAAAAGTAGCGTGTGGAAAAGACTAAAGTCGCCGTTCCGAAGGAAGAAGGATTCGGTCACTTGAGCAGCGAGGATTCTTCCGCAGAGTGACACAAAATCTGTGAGAAGCCATTTGTAACCAAAGCGGTTTAGGGACAGCCTTTTGGCAGGATGTTGTATGTCTGATGGGACCAAGGAGGGCATAATAGCTCCCAGTTCCTTCTTTTTAAAATGGTATTCCCTTGATTTTGGATCTTTTTAACTCATGACGCAACGGAGATTTTACTTTTATTTGTTGTTTTTCTGACTGGATCCAACAAACGTCACTCACGGGGTGTTGGTTACACCTGCGGAGGGGTTTGTACCCATGCACTCCAGAGCGTTTGTCCTTGGTCACTGCATACTGGAAGTTGAATCGTTTAAAATAGCATTGAAGCCCTTCGCAGCGTAACTCAATTCTCTTTTTTTTTCCTTTTCCTAGTCCTTTGCACAACAAATTTGGCTGCTTTTTGGAACAGTAACCCACATTGCGAGAGGCTGCTTGTCGAGGCCATGCTGCAAAGTCGCTTACAGAGCCTGTGTCCTGGCCAAGAGCCTAGCGTAGAGGTCAGTGTAGAATTCTGGTGTTCTCATTGAACAGAATTTTTCCAAAAAAAGACAGAGTAAGTAACGTGGCACATCCCCATTCCTGCAGTTTATGTAGCTGGGCTTCTAAACGAGTCAGAAAACAGTAAGTTATGGTTCCTATAGCAGCTACAGCTTGGCAACAGTGCACCAATATCCAGTGTTCTCCTACTGTATGTAACGTTTCTCGTGCTGCCATAGCATGCGGGATGTGACGACGCTGTAGACGCTCTAGAAACCAGCTTTGAATTTTCTGACTTGCTTGTTAAAAGCAGAGCTGTAATAGTGTGGTGGCTTATTTATTTACATCGAATTTTAGCTTATTTCCTTAAAGGAGCCAGCATCACTGCTGGGTGCGAGTCTCTAGTATAGTCATTTCAGTTTGCTCCAGTAAGTCCTTTGTAAAGATGACTGAAATGGAGTATTGCAGATATTTGGCCCCAGAGCTAATATTATGAATTCCTGTAAGATTCTTCCAGTCGTAAGAGTAGAACTGAAGACAGTCCTGACAGATAGTCCCATCTCTGACCCTCCATATATATATATATATTTATATATGCAGTTCAGTCGGTGCACGTAGAGATTTTTCTTTATGCTCGGTGACCAGTGGTTTGGGTTTTGAGGCAGCAGATCCTTTCTGCTTTGCAGTGATGCATCAACTCTAGAACTTCAGCCCAGAGCTGGGGCCCAAATGCAAAACGATCCCCTGCAGAGAGGGGCTCCTGACTGGGGTTTTCATTGAGCCTCCGAATCACAGGCAGCCCGGCCACGGTTGAAACAACCAAGATGAAGTGCCTGGAACGGTTCAGGTTAAGAGCTTAACGGGCTCTAAGTGTCATGTAGCTCTTGTTACACACTCGGGTTCAAAATGAAGCTACTTCCATTCACGGGTCAAAGGATTGAGCAGGAGCAGCGAGGAGGGCAGATGCATTAAACGCTGGGCTTCCTTGCTGAACTCTGAAGTGCTTAGGATGCCACTGGAAATCCTAAGCCTGGTGCTTCTAAGAATATTTTATTTCTGTAAGATGAAAAGCATTTTATAGCGAGACATTTCGGGGGGAGGGGGTATTGTTTTATGTACATTCGTACCTGAGCTAAATGCTTAAATTGGTTTCTGTTTCTCACTTCCAGAGCTGCACTGGTGATAATTTCACATTGAACAAGAGGTTAAGAATAATTGGGAATGTTTTTGCAACATAAGGCCTCTTTTAAAAGCAGCTGTGTGAGCAGGTGTGCACATCTGTTGTGCAGTTACTCACGTAGAACCAAAAGCCCTACCCATTTTCGTTCTATAACTTAGCTAAAAATCCTAGGAAAACTTAACAAATTTTGAGCAGAAAGAAGGGACAACAACTAACAGACTGCTCTAAAAGCATGGCTGGTTAGGTCATTCCAAAAACCACTCCAGCTTTCTGGAAATGTTAAACAGAGACCAGATTATGGTAAATTTTCCCCGTGCTTTTCCTGGATATGTTATTTTAACACATTATGTTGGTGAATTGCCGACGTCAGAAGTGTTCAGGTAATGAGGAGAGGTAACCTGCCAGCAGCACGGAAGCTGCATGGCACTAATATTTATTATTTTCACCTTTAAATAACTGGTATCTGTGCCTTACATTATTCCTTGGATGCAATTAAGTGTTTACTGATGCCCTTTGTGAGCCTCTTGCTTACAGAATTCTTAGAACAGCAGCAAGCACTTTTTTACGCAGTGTTATTGAAGAAGAGTTTTATTTTTGTCATATATGAATTTGTATGCAGAATTATTGTTTTATTTGACACAATATAGAATTTTTAATACAACTCTTTGCCTTTGGTGTTTTAATCCTTGGTGCCCAGCACGAGGGTAGGAAGCCTTTCAGCTGGAGAGCGCCGGAGGAGGACGCTTCCTGGTACGTGCGCAGCTTTTTCTGGAAAACACTTATCCAAAGGGATCGTTAAGTCGTTTCTTTGGGTTGTGGGCAGCGCACTGGCAAGCCCGGATTCCTCCTTCCCTGTCCCCTGCAGTGTCTGGAATTGGAACGCTTCCCCGCGCGCCGGCTGAGGTCATTCCCTGCAGGGCGGCTGCGCGGGAATCGCAGCCGAGGCGCAAAATCCGCGAAGACGCTAGAGGGCACAAGGAATGAGCAGCGGGAATTCCCTTGGAAGGCTTTAATCCTCCAAATGCTGCCCTGCTAATACTCAGCCCAAGTCATAGGGGTAACCTGAATGCCTTATGAGGAGGGAAACCTTAGAAATAGCGAGAACAAAGAAAAAGAAAGTAGTATAAAAAAAGAGAGATCCCAAGAGCTGCCTGCATTTTACCAGTAACGCTCTTATGTGGGTCTGAGTAAACTCAGAGGAAGAATCACTGAGTGATTGAGCTACAGCCAAGGAGGGTGTTTGTCCGAGTGTTCATCCTTGTGTACGCGAAAGAAATAGCTCTGAGTTTTAATGGATAAACTATAAGAAATGGAACAAATTCCAAATTTGCTGAGAACTAAATCCACTCGAACTTGAGGAATGCTTGCCTTCCCGCTGCCCCCTCTTCTTTCTTCCTTTCCTGGCCTCTCTTTGTACTTTCATGGCATTCTAAGTGCTGAAGGACTAATTCAAATGGTTGTTGGTTAGTCGCGTTTTTAAATGTTGGCAGCAAGAACAGTGTGACCGTTGGATGCCTTTTATTTGTCTCAAAACAGCGGAGGGGCTTTTTGAGTGACTCAAGATTCGTAGCTGGCAATTAAGAGACTTCGTAAATGCGAGCTCCTTCACAGGTACACTCCTGCCAGCATTTTTTTTTCCCTTTTAAGGCATTTTTAACACATTTAGGGTTCAGGAGGCTGATGGAGCTGTTGCTAACTCTGCTGTTTCAAGGGAAGTGCCAAGGAGCCCTGACCCAGGGAGGCTGTGATGGAATACATCACATTGCCATGGCAACAGGCGTCTTGCTGGTGTGTTGAATTAGGTGGGGTAGAAGCTGTCAGAGGAGGAAGAGCCTAATTGTGCTGCTGAACATGACAAAAATCCTTTCAACTCGCATGGAATCAGTATCCGGACACAGAGAAGGTGGGAAGAGAGTGTGGAACTTTCATGCTCTCCTTAAAACCCTTTTGCTATTCCCATTTTATTTTCCTTCTCATGTGCCTGCGTTCTGGTGTGTTCCAGCTCGGGCTGGGGCTCCTTTAGGTTGGAGACCTGGCGTTCACGTGCAGGGGTGTTTAGGCACCCAAAACACCTTTGAGTCTCAGGCTGTTGTTACACAGAAGCCATCCAGGAGGGAAGTGTGGAATGCGGGAGGTGCTGGGAGCCCGCTCTGCCGTGCGCTGCTTTCCAAAGGCCCGTGGCCCTGGAATGCTGCTCCGCGCCCAGGGAGCTGCGGAGGAGCCGACCGGGCGGCCGGCGCAGAGCGACGTGGCCAGAAACGGCCCTGAAGACACTGCACGGGGTTGAGTTTTGCCTCCCGGTCCAGGGATGCTTCTGGACCCCCAGTAATGGAGCGTCTCCCCTCAGGGACAGCCAGTGCTGCTCCTGCAAATTCCTCCCATTGCCGCTTTTCCCTCCCGTCCAATGTCATCTTTGTCTGCGGCGCGTTCAGCCGGAGGCAGCGCGTGCCGGGCTCCACGGCTTGCAGGGACACGCAAAGCGGGATTTCGGTTGAGTGGCAGCAGCGTATTTCAACTGCCCAGGTTTTGTTGTGCCCCTTTGTGTCTTTGAGATTCGTGTGCTCCTTTTTGGGACCTTCAGCCACAACAGAAATGCACAGTTCTTTAGAAACAAACCCTTAAAACATCTTCAGTATAGTTACACATTCAGTGTTGCCTAAAGTCAAACATGGCACAGGCAGCAGCTATTTAAAGTGATTTAATTTTTATTTTCACGCTCAATGTGCGTTAACAAATTCAACATACAAGGTAGCATTACATAGTGTAGGTTAGCATACAGCATTATGCAGTTTCACACATTTTGAGTTAGTTTTTTTGCCTTTTTTTTTTCTTTTTTTCACACAAAGTTGTAACTGTCCAAGTTAATTTTACAATAGAAGACACAAGGTAAAGAGTAACCACATCTGGGAGATTTTACAGTGAGTCCGCTGTCACTTACTGTCCATTTTACATTTAAAAACAAAAAAAAAACTGCACATGTTCAGTTTCCCGTTACTCCAGAAGTGATGGAATGACTCACGTCTGCCCAATAGCCTAAGTCTATTTACCCTGAGCACGTTTCCTTGATAAGAAGTTCATCTTTCCTTTTAAACTAAAGGAATCTTAAGGAGACCATCTAGGCTTAAGCATACTTTTCACACTGAAGGAAAAAGGGAACTTGTTGTGTTTTTTTTTTTAGCACATTCCAAACGTTTGGAGCGGTGTGGGAAAACGCGGTTCTGAGGGCAACGCGGTGCCGGTTCCTAAACTGCAGCAACGAGACCGCGGAGCGCAAAACCCAGGATCGAAACAAATGATTCCCGTTTCCAAGGGGGAATTTGCTCTCCGCTCCGTGGCTGAGAACTTGCCAAACAGAATTTCTTCGGAAGAGATGCCCACATGTTCCTAAGTGCTGACTGTTTGCGTGGAGAGCCCTCCCAGCAGCAGCTGCTTTACATTGTGGTTGGAGAAAAAACCGAGTGAGACTTGCTCAATTAGTCTAGTTTCATTAGTAAGAAGGTGGAAAGGATCTTTTTCTTTTTTCCAACAGGGCTCTAAAATTCAGTAGTCAGGTCCTGTAAATAGTTAAATGATCTTAAAAATCTGCAGTTATAATACATTATTTACAGTCCCCAGGACACAGAGCTGCCTGCCTGGAAGCAGCTGAAGGTGCACTGGAAACTTGCAGGATCCCACGCGCCTCTGCAAGCTCAGTTCTGCTTTCAATTCCCATTGTAGTGCTCAAAAATAATCTGAATTTCTACAGCTTGTCGTAACTCTTTACGCTCAGCTTGCCAACAACGTTTATAATTAGTTATTTGCTGCCATGTATCATCCTTATATCTTTTCTGGTTTTAATGTAATAAGCACCCAAGTGAAATCACTTGCCAAGATATTACTGTCTTCTACAAAAAAAAAAAAGTCCTTAGGTTAGTGTTTTAATCACAAGATCTAATGCAACTACTTCCAAACCTCACCTTGTGTTTGCAGAACTCCACGAACTTCTGTTCAAAACTAGTGACTATCCAGGGTTAATAGCCTGAAGTGCTACAGGTCACGTCAGCAGGGGGATTTTCTACATTTCAAAGGTGACAGTAAGCACGTTGGCATTCGCAAAAGTCAGATCCACTATTTAAGAGCTAGCTCAAGAGTTTCCTTTACAATTAATGACATATGGTGATTTTTTATTTCCTCAGGCCCTTTGTGCACAGGCAGGGTTAAACAGGGCATCACGGAGGCCTCGAGGGAGAGATGCCTGGGCTAACTTCCAGGTGGCGAAAGCAAAGAGATCAGGTTGGCAGTGGTTTAATTTTAGATGCAAATCTTTTATGTTTTGACTCAATAGCTCCACAAGTGTGTTGCAAATGGAAATATTTTAGTAGCAGATTATGAAATTATTTTTGTCTTTGACAAGAGGAACCATTTTCCCCTTTTGTATTTTCCTTTTGTTCTTGTGCAGAAATCTAGACCATCCTTGTATGGAAACGCAGTTGGTAACTCCCAAACCAGCAAAGAAAAGAACTGCAAGAATCAATGGGCAGGCAAACTAGCAAGAAACTAGAGGTTAAACAGCAGAATTCATAAACCTTGGAAGAAGCCTAATAAAGAGAGGCCAGTTTTGGTGAATACCAGCAAAGACAGTTCGGCACAAACACAACTTCCATAGTGACAGATAATTGTATTAAAATCTGCAACTTGATATTGGTAGTTATACTAATTTCAGTTTGTATTAGGCATGCAATAGCGTGATTACACCGTTATATATATTCGTGGTTTCTTTTTAACTGAACGCTCTTTAGAATTTTAGTGCCCTGCAAAAATCACATCACTAGAGAACCAATGAGCTGCTTGTTAGGAAAGTTTCTACAGCTAGAACAAGGCTGGCGTCTGTCCTACGGGCTGTTCTAGTACTCGCTCAGGCTGTGCCACTTGGTGACCGCTTTCCGGGGGCTGTCACACACCTCTCGCCAGTGCTCCACGCCGGCCGCGGTGACGCTGTGCGCGCCCAGGATCAGCCGGCCCACCACCTCGTTTTTCGTGGTGCGGTCGAAGTCGATGACGAGGAACTCGATGCTGATGTCGGGAAGGAGCTCGGCGGGAATGTCGTAGATGAAGGACTCGTTGAAGACGGGGTTCAAAGTGCACTTCTTCACGTGAGTCTTCTTTTTTGCTATACGCTTTCTCCCGTAATAGACGTTCACCTTAACGTAGGGATCTGCCGGGGAGGAGAGACACAAACTAATAACACAGCCCAGCGATGCGCCAGGGAATTCCGGGCTTCTGCCACCTGAACTGGACTGCACAGGGCTGAGCTACCCCTTGGGCCACCCCAGTGTGGGGTTTGCTTGGTTGCTGCAAAGCAACCGATGCTTTTACACAAGTATCCAGCACTGCAAGGGCTCTGCCAGCGTTGGGCAGGGGCTGGGGAGAACAGCAGCTGCCTGTGAACGCTGCTAATTAATCCGTGTAGGCCCCAGTGTGTAGGTCCTTAATGAGACTTGCCCCAATCAGTTCCATTTTCCCTGTTGTCTGTGGCAAGAAATGTTTTCACCCTCTTTCAGGAACTAGCTCCACGTTCTTTATCCATCTAAAATAATGATCTTATACATAATAACACAGAATACAGTACACACAGTTTTCCCCAAAGAAGCATGGAAATGCATGGAACTTGGAAAATGCCATCTTTGTAAAGCAAACTGGGTGATGCCACCCTGATACAATCGCTGGTATCACAGTGTGGATGAGCTGGTCTCGCTTGTACAACCATCTGCTGCTTTGTAATCGGTTTGGTCACTTGTAGTGATCCACCAGCCTTAGAAATGTGAGGAAAAGGGAAAATAGGCAACAAAAACAGTCACATCTGACAAGAGAAGATCTCAAAGGGAAGCCCTGGTGACTGAGGTCGTCTCTCCAGCACCGTTTCCCACCGGACTGCACACGGCTTTGCCCTGGGACACCCTTCCCACCCAACAACGAACAGCAGCGGCTGTTTGTGCAGCGCATCTTCCCTGCTCGCCCTGACCCAGCCTGGATTCGCAGCCCTGCTCCGATATTCTGTGACCTGCTTGGGGCTCGGGTAAATAGCTTCTACCTGAGAGGCCGGTGATGTCCATCTTTGGCAAGTGTCTGGCTTTCAGCACCACCACAGTCATTCTCTGCGCCACGGGCTGGTAGGACAGGGAGACCTGCAGCTCTCCTCTGCTAATGCACTTCTGTGGGAGCAGCAGACACAACCCGTGAGGACGCGCGATCCCGCGACCCGAGCGCGCGCGGGCCGGGATGCTGGGGAGGCTGGATTTGCTGCCGGGACAGCCCAGGTATCTGCGGGAAGCAGCCCTGAGTGAGGCAGGAAAAACTATTTCCAGCCTTGCTGATGTCTGTGTATTCCGATGTAATTCCAGACAGTTACCTTCCGTGAGCTCGTCTTTCAGTATGGGGAATGTCTGCTAGGATATTTACCTTTCCTGGCCTGAATCACGGCACAGAGAAACTGCATTTTAGAAGTGGTTTCTGATCCACATTGGAACATTCCTATCACACTGAAAACCATGGTCAGGAGAAGCTGTGTTGCCACTGTGAAACCATGCAGATTTTCAAGACGCTGCTGACACCAAGGTAGATGCTATTTTTGATTACTCATAAATGTTACATAATTTGGATCCTTGAGCAAAGCTAATTTTTACCATGAGCTTTTTCTCTTTTTGTAATGTGGAAAATAAACCAGAGACTTGCTGGCAGTTAGGTAGCCTGTGGGTTTTGAATTAGCACCAGGTTGGGATGTCATGGCCTGGTGCCACGTGCTTTGTTGCAAAAAAAAGGCCATTTCCATGAGCTTTGCTCTCTCTCAGCAGCTGCTCACCGAGTCCAGCATGGATTTTAGCAGCTCGTTCCTGTCCTAAGGCATTAACGCAGCCCCAGGGGACATTTTGTGAGGAAAAGGAACAAGCATGAACAGGAGGATGACAGAAGAAGGGAGACTGAACAGGAAAAAGGTAGCGTGATTACGTGATACCATCATAATGGCCTGGAAATGAATGCCAGGAGCAGTGACAAAATCTAGGAATGCAGAAAATCCTGCATTATAATTTACACTGGGTAGCCTTTAAATAATTTAAAAATAAGCTAAGTGCTACATACAGTAGAAAAAACCTTTTAACTATAATGCATCTACTCTAGGGCATAACAAATATTTTATAGAGCCTGGCAACAATTTGCAACAGGTTAGAGCAAGAAGTGAGGCTGAATGCTATTTCCTATTGAACCTGGAAGACAGGTAGCAAAAATGGCCTGAAATAGTCAAGATGACTCTGTCTCTGAGATGTGTCTTTGCAAAGCAGGATATGCCCCCCTGTATAAACGAGCCCCCTTGTCTCAGCAAGGAAGGAGGCACTTTGCTGCACTAGCGCTCTCGCCCGGAGATGGAGATTTTGCCTTTTTCTTGCCATCTCATCATTGTAACATGCAGTATTTCTGTGACTCCACAGTTACTGTGTGTATCAAGCCTCTACAAACCCCAGTGCAGAGAACAGTGCAGAATACAGCCATATATTACTGTTAATCTGCATCTGGCGGGGGAAAATGACTAATATGACTAAGGATCAAACATACCGCGCGCGGTGCCCGCGGCGCGCCGTTCCCTACCTGGATGTTCCTCTTGAGGATCTCCCTGGTGAGCTGGACCTTCCCCGTGCTGGGATCCACCCCGGCGAGGGGCACCATGACCTCGCCGATGACGTCGTCGCGGGAGAAGCGGTCGAAGCTCAGCACGAGGAAGTGCAGCACCAGGTCCTGCAGCTGGCTGTAGGGGATCCCGTAGAACGTGAAGGTTTCGTCGAACACCGGCTCCAGGGTCTTGCGCAGCACGCGGGTCTTCACGCGGTGCCTCTTATCGGGCAGAATTGTCATCTTGATGTACGGGTCGGAGCTCTGGGTGTGCTCGTCCATCACGGGCAGCCCGTGCGCCTCCTGGATGGTGACCACCAGGGCCTTTTTGGGGAAGTTGTAGTCCACGGAGAAAGTCAGCTCGCCCAACATGACATCGTCCCCCGGAGAAGACGGCGAGGAGGTTTTACTCCCTCCTGGAGTGAGGCTTTGATCCGGGCTTAGTTCATCTCCGTAATCTACCTTTATGGGGAGCTGATCAACGTGGGGGGCCGCGTTGGGCCCAGCGGGGGTCTTATCCGAGCCTATTAAACCAGATTCAGCAGCATCCACCAGGTTTCCCCTTCCCGGCTCCTTGGGAGTGCCGCTCTTGTCCCTGCGGATTCGGTTGATTTTCTTCTTGTTGCTCAAGGTCTCTGGATAGATGCTGATGCCTTTCAACATGTGAATAAATTTGTACGGGGGAGTTTTGTGCTTTTTTTCTGCTTGCTGATGACAGCATGTCCACACAAAAACCGTCACCGAGACAGACACCACAAGGACAGTAGCACCGATGAGGCCTGCCACGACTGGAGAGACATCTGCAAAGAAGACAACGCAGTCAGGAACGAGCTCGGACCTTTGCACCTGTGTCCGGGCAGCACCTGGGACAGCTGCAGAGAGAGGACTTACAGCATTAACATGACCCCAATTCAATCATCTTGGCAGCAAAGTTTCACAGGAATACGAAAATGAAGTCCTTTCATGTATGTTTGGCTACGTGGAGGACATGTTGTGCTCCCCACACAGGCTTGGGCTGCGTTTCCTTGCCAAGGGTTTCAAGCCTTTGCTTGCCCTAACTTGCCAAATCCAACTGAGGTGTTGCAAGGGCAAGCAGTCCCTCCATGCAGGAGGGCTCTTCCAGATCCTGCTCAGGAACGCTACGCAATCCTGTTTTAATTACAGGGAACAGTAAATTTGCACGCACCACTTCTTAGATTCGGGAATTATCCTTTATTAATTAACAATTAAAAATCACTGTGGCCTAAAAATAGGGGGATTGTTTTGTCCTACCCCCTTAAAACAGCAATTAGACCTCGGAGGGAAAACATCAGAGAGGGTGGCCAAAAACGAGGAAAGGGCAGGCAGGTTGTGAGATGTGAGCAGTGTGATGATGATGATGATGATGGTGATGATATTGGCATTATTATGGTATTGCTGCTTTCATAACAACAGCTAAGAACAAACAGGATAAATGGCAAGCTTGTCTGATTTAGGTATTTTCATTCTGTATCACAAACAGGAGCAAAAATCTTCCATCTCATACTTGAAACTATTCAGAGTGTTTCAGTTCTGTGTTTTCTCTGGCTATTATTCCTTGAGGCTAATAGGAAAGAGCAAGATTAACAGATTATCCTCTGAATGTTTGATAGGCTGGATGAGAACTCTGATTTTTGAAAGACTAATATGTGTCCCTTGTGCAAAAGCAGCAAAACCGCTTTGGGTTAGACAGCAGCCTTCCTAGAGGGAAGCTGGCTGGAATCTATCCAGACTTTCACATGGATAAATCCACCTTGGGCCCCACTGCAAGTAGAGCCAGGCATGAGAATAACCAACGCCAGGAGTATTCATAACAACTTCAACGAAACACTTCGAGATCTAGCTTTATTTTGTTATTTAATGCTCCCTTTTGAAATGAGGCAAATGGTCTTCAGCACAATATGGACAGAGGGCTGTAATTCGGCGCCGTACGGATATCACAGGCTTCAGAGCAGGTGCCAAAAAAGGGGCAAATGCGGATGCTCCCCTCCTTTCTTGCGCCGATCTCAGCCTGGTTGGTGCTTTGTTTTTAATTCTGTCTTCACAGCCTCTTGCACTATCATTTTATGCAGATCTGACAGACAACTTGTAGAAGAAGCAACCAGCAGCCACACTGGAAAGCAACAAATAATGGCTTCTACCATTTTTCTTCCATTAAAATATCCCATCACTTTTAAGTTTTTAAACTTGGCTTTTGGTAATGCCTTGTGGCTGAAACTAAATGACATGACAAAATAACTTTGTGCTTTGTGGCTGCCTCCGCTGGCTTCATCCCATGGAAGAAGCATTGAAAAAAAATCCCTCCCTATCCCGTTTACCGTTGCTGGTCACGACACCCCTCTTTTCCTGGTTTATATCATTATCCCAATTGGTGAGTGATCCGGTTTCCATCGGTCCTTACGGCTGCAAACCAAACCGTCGCGAAGCGGCCCAAAAGCCGCTCGGTTCAGGTTTCCGCAGCTTTGTGCGTGGAGCAGTGCTTGGAATATCGCAGGTTTTGGAGCCTTGTGAGGTGTCTAAATACCTGTGTAATGCCCAGCTCAAGAGTAACGTAAGGAAACCAGAAGAGCTGCTGCTTTCTGAAGCATCCTTTGATGTTTCCTTAGGAAGAAGCAATCGGGTTAGGCTGTTTTAAGCGGCATCATGGCCTATTCTGTCTCCTCCCTCCAAAAGAAAAGGGTAGAACCAAGCTTTATTTTTTAGTTCAAACTTCTTAGATGAAGTCCTGCTGGTGATGCTTCCATTTCATTGAAAAACACACACAAAAAACAACCTTTTTGGGGGATACGGAATCAATATTTTGACCAATGAAGCATCCCTGGGACGCTGCTGTTAATACAGATGCTCTCGCGTCGGGCTGTAATGGCTCCTGGTTACCAAAAGTTAAATTAAGGGAGGCTCTTGGATCCCTGGAAAGGCGCAAGATGCAGAACAGGAATGTAAAGCACGAGCAGGCAGCGCTGGGCGCTAAATAAACCACGCAGGATGGTGGATTACAGCCAAGCGCAAGGGAAATGCGGCGGGGGACGCGCTTCGAGCGCGGGGCCCGGAGGGAAGGTCGGCCCGGAGCCGGAGGGAGCCCGAGGGCTGTAAAAACCCGCAGAACATCGGGGGGATCCGAAGGGAAAAGGAGGCCCGAAGAGCCGCCCCGCAGCCCCGTTATCGCCCCGCGGGCCCCGGGGGAGGCGC